CTGTGCCTCAGTTTCTAATCACACAGAGGAGAGGGCTGGGGAAGAGCCGTGTGCACTGTGTTCTCTTTTTACTGTTTTTCAGGGGCGGTGTTTTTACACCTGGAGCAGCTTTCTCCAAAACAAAGTTAATCGACAGACTCAACCAGCACGGCATTGAATTTAGTGTCATCAGCAGCTCCGAGGTCTAAACATTTGAAAACTAACCAGATCATAAAATGCACAAACAGCGTCTGTATTTGATACATGAAATTCTTCTATAAGCCTATCTGACTGTATGTGGACTGTCAAGTATAAAATATCTGTACATTAAAAGCAGGAAATTATACTATCTTATCCTAAACTTCATATCTCAACTGTTTTTATGATTTTATTGCTTGTGAGAGGAAGCTAACCTTCTCCGTACTTTATTGACAAGTGAACTGGAAGGTCAGATGGTGAAGAGGGCCCCTGTTTGTATTGCTGACAGCATCCTTGGTGATGGAGCTGGACTGCTGTGAGGCTGGGCAGTAGCTTCTGCCTTCCCTGCCCTGGTGTTGTGGAATCTCACCCTCCTATAAGTTCCTCTGCATAGCATGTGAGCATTTGCTAAGTGAAACTGTACTTTTTCTATTTCAGTCTGTTTTCTCATCCATCTACTACATGGACTGATTCTGGATTGTTTACCTCAGTTGAATAATAAAGGGTTGTTAATTGAGTGACCTTTTTCCCCTTTTTGGTTTGGACTTGCATGCGTACTTTTGTACATTGGCACTACTTAAAGTGTCCTGACATTTTTATTTCTAGTAATTGAGCTCGTGTAGTTTTCTGCTCCTGACTTTACAACTGTGACTCGTCTCAAGCAGATGGCTTTTAGCTTTGTACTGACTTTTGACAACCTCAGCAGAATTTGTCACATTTGCTTTTTTGCATTTCAGACATGTTTGGCATAGGAGAGCTAAAGCAAAGAGAAGACCATTTCCTCTTGTAATATACTCAAAGGCCAGGCATGTAGCTCCATTGGTAGTGTGCACTTAACATACATGACGTCCTGGGTTGGGGCCCTTGCACTTCATAAACCGAGTGTGGTGCCAGTTCTAGCACCCAGGAGGCAGAGGCAGGAAGATAAGAAGTTCAAAGTCATCCTCAGCTATGTAGACCGGCCAGGGCTACAGATCCTATCTCAACAAGGAAAACTAATATCACAGACGTACACATACATTATTCATGCTGTTCTTTATATAAAGGGGATGGCCACTGGTTTGAGGACATAATATATTGGAGTACTCATGCTTGGTGGTCCTTCTCTGTTCTCTATGTGAAAGAACAGAGTATTCAACTTGAAAAGAGAGGATATTTTATGTTTTTAATTATTTCCATTTAATTTTTTAATTGGCCAATAATAGTATATATTTGTTAGATTCAAAATGAGTATCACCAGGGCTATGGAGGTGGCTCAGCAGCCAAGAACACTTGCTGCTCTTGAGAGGACTCAGGTTTGATCGCCAGCACCCACAGGTGGCTTATGGTTGCTAACTCCAAGGACTCTGATGCTCTCTTTTAGTCAGTGCACCTGCACATAGGTGGTACACATGCATACATTCAGGTATGCACACACATAAACACATGCACACATTCAGGTATGCACACACATAAAAATTAATTCTTTTTTTTTTTTTTTCGAGACGGGGTTTCTCTGTGTAGCCCTGGCTGTCCTGGAACTCACTCTGTAGACCAGGCTGGCCTCAAACTCAGAAATCCGCCTGCCTCTGCCTCCCAAGTGCTGGGATTAAAGGCGTGCACCACCACTGCCCGGCAGAAATTAATTCTTAAAAATGGTATTTAGCCAAGCATAGTGGTCCACATCTTTAATCGAAACACTTGGTCTGCATAATTCCAGGACAGCCAGAGCTATATATAGTTAGACCCTGTCTGAGATCAACAACAACAAAATAAAGGCATTTAAATAATCCACATATAGAATAAGCAAAGTAATAACATCTACCACCTGAAATTATAGTTTCTCTGTGGTGAGGACATTTAAAATCCTTTCATTACTTCACTGCCAACCGTGGTTAGCCTGGGACAGAGCATACAGATGTATTCCTTGTGACTTGTACCACTGGCATACCACCTCCCTCAAGCTCCTGCTGCACGCCATCTCCCTGCCAGTTCTGCCGGTTATTTTTGTAGATAAGAGATTATATGATATCTGTAGCTTGATTATTCACTCAGCACAATGGACTCTAAGTTTCTCTGTTATCACAATCTAGAATTTCCTGCCTTTGCAGGCAGCTTCTATTACGTGTTCTCTGACAGTATTCTGCATGTGTACAGTGCACCCTGATTGCTCCCACTCCCCCTCTTTCATCACCCTTTAACCCCACCAGTCCTACCAGTCACTTCCCACACACATGACTTTGTTTTGTCCTGTGAACCACCATGGCCTTCTGGACACCCATGGGTGTGGAGCTATCCATTGGCTCATCAGTGAGCTGAGCCCACAACTGAAGTGTCTGGACCCAGCTCCATCTTTAGTCAGTAGTTCAGCAGGGAGAGGCAGGGCCCATGGAGCTCTCCCCAGCCTGTGATGGACAGCTGACAGGCCCAGTGTAGGCAGCCATAGCTGTTGTGATCATGGTTGCAATGGCTGCGTCATGCCCAGAAGAAGGCATTCCACTGTCATCTCCCCTCTTCCAGCGCTTACATTCCTTCAGCCCCTCTTCCATCATGTTCCTGACCTCTAGAGGGTGGTACCATAGGCCTATTTAGGGGTGAGCATTCAGTCATCACGTATGGTCAGCACCTTGCCCGCCACGATTCTCTGCACTCAGAGCCACACATAAGTGAATATTGCAAACAGAAGCGATTCTGATTATGATTGAGAGTGTCATTTGCATAAATGTGGAAGTGTGGATATTTAGAAGGCAATTTGGTGCCATGTCAATTGAGTCAAACAGTCCTGTGTTTCTAAATGGGGGTCATGCATTGGCAAACACCTTTTCTTAGCTTGTGAACAGTGCTGTAAGAGAGCATGGAGTGCGGCTAGCCTTCAGCATGCTGATTTCAGTTCTTTTGAGCAGACACACAGTAATGGGATGCTTGATCACAGATAATCCCTGTTGTTTTGAGGAACTTTTGTGGAAGTACCGCTATACCTGGTGTTTGCTACTCTGTGGGTTTTTCTCTCTTATACCCCTCTCCACTCCTTTTCTTCTTTCCTTTCAACTTCCTAACACTAGATTTGAGAAAGAAAAAGATAGAGGGGAAAGGAAAGAGATCCCTGAATAAAGTCAGGGGTTGGAAAGGGGGCAATGTTACCGTTAGATGACTTCCTGCTGATTAGGAGCATCGAGCTGCTTGAGGCAGGTTTGATCTTCACTCTCAGGATATCTGTTTTCTTCTTGTTGTTTCTTTTTTTTGTTTGTTTGTTTGTTTTGTTTTTTTCGAGACAGGGTTTCTCTGTGTAGCCCTGGCTGTCCTGGAACTCACTCTGTAGACCAGGCTGGCCTCGAACTCAGAAATCCGCCTGCCTCTGCCTCCCAAGTGCTGGGATTAAAGGCGTGCGCCACCACTGCCCAGCCCTTCTTGTTGTTTCTTTGTACAATACTGCTTAACAGCCACCAACAGCCAACCATACCCCCTCCCACTAATGACCAACAACTACCCACACCACCCAGCGGGGCCCTAGCACTTACATACCCTCTAAAAAGTTCCCAGAATTTTAAACAGAAACTCTCTGCAGCTGGCAAAAACATGGTAAGTAGTAGTCAGCTGTGAAGTAGTAGTCAGCTGTGAAGCAGCTCCACAGCCCCACACTTGGGAATAAAACAAAACCATATTCTCATAATATTGCTGTGTGTTTTTTAAACAAAATTCCAAAGTCGTTTCTATATACTGCTTACATTAAGTCATAAAATTATTGTGAGAATTACACAAGCTAACAAATGTTTGGAATTAGGACTAATGTCTGGCACCTGGTAAACGTGTCACTACTTTGTTACTAAGTGTTTTCCCAGCCATAAAAGGGTTCCTAATAGACTCTTAGTGACTGTCAGTCTCTAAGACTACTGACCATTTGTGGAATCTAAGCAGGGTGGACTGTCTATTTAAAGGAGTGTGCTAACAGTCAGCCCCGCACTGGGGAGACCCTGCACCACACTACTGCTGTGGAACCAGGTGGGTGCATCTCAAATAAACATATAGAAAACAAATGGAGGCCAACTAGCGGATGGATAGATCAGATGCTCAGAGCAAGAGTGCAGAATAAGAAATGTGAACTAACCACTGTCTATATTTCTGATAACAATACAAACAAAAATAATGAATTGGACAGGCTTTATTTAAGTTTTGGAATGGAAGAGCTGGGTGTGTTGCCTCATACCCGTGATAACAGCACTGGGGTGGGGGGATATGAAGCGGAAGGACCACTGAGAGTTCAAGGGCAGCCTGAGTTAAGACTGAGACCCTGTCTCAAAAAAAATAAAAAGAGAACAGGCTGGAGAGATGGCTCAGTGGTTAAGAGGATGTACTGATCCCACAGAGGACCCAAGCTCAGTGCCAGCAACCAAGGGTGGCTGACAACTGCCTGTAATTCTAGCTCCAGATTATCCAGCTCCCTCTTCTGGCCTCTAAAGGTACCACTCACATGTACAGACATACAATACATACATACACATAATAAAATTAATCTTTTATAAAGGGAAAAAAAAGCAGAATGTGAAGTCTTTCCCACGAACACACTGAGAGTAAATCCTTACTGAGCATGCTCTCTGCCAGCCAGCCTGCCAGGCGGTTGGTAATGATTAATCATCACAGATAACTCCCTAGGGAAGAGGACAATTTATAAGTGAGAGATCTAGCGGACTGAATCTTGGGCAGTCAAATCCAGAGCTCCGGGTTCAGAACATTTCACCAGACACCCTGCATATCTCTTAATTTTTTTTTTTTACAGGATTTCTTTTTTTTTTTTTTTCCTTTTTTGTTTTTCAAGAGAGAGTTTCCCTATGTAGCCCTGGCTGTCCTAGAACTGACTCTGTAGACCATGCTGGCATGTAACTCATAGAGATCCTTCGTCTGCCTCTCAAGTGCTGGGATTAAAGGCATGTGCCACTACCACCTGGCAATTTTGACAGGAATTTAAAACCCAGTTAAGGCCCAGTGTGGTGGTGGCATAGGTCTGTGATCCCTGTAGTGGGGCTAGAGGTACAAAGTCAAGATCGGGCAATTCTGTTCCACACAGCAGGTCCTCGTCGGAAAAGAGTCGAGTGGCCCATGTGTCTATGAAGCTTACTAAGTCAGAGCATGTTTGCAGTTCTCAGCTGGCTCATTTTCACTGTTGGCTGGGCAGTAGATACTCTTTCTTCTTCTTCTTCACTATGAAAGCAACATCAGTCTTTAACTTGTGTAAACTAGATTCAAGCAGGTCCTCCAAGTCCTTCAGCATCTGTGACTGCTGGTGCACAAAAGGCCGAAGCATTTGATCATCTTCCTACAAAAAAGAAAGACGATGGACTTCTTAGGACTGGATTAAAGAGTACTCCATGCATGTGAATGGGGCGTCCAGTAACCGTGCCCATGTGGCCGAAGAGCTGCATCAGAACGCTACGCGCAGTCAGTCGTGACTGGCTGGCTTCAGGAAGGCCATGTGAATCTACCAAGAGGATTCGATAGGCCACAGTTTCAGACTGGAATGTTCTATATTCTTTCAGTACTGTAGCCATGCAGAGGCTTGCACAAGGACTCCCAGATGGATGGGAGTCCTCCATGATGGAAGCAAGTACCCCTGAGAAGGGGTTTGGAGGAGCAGTGACATCAGCAGAGGGGGAGGGTGCAGGCAGCTGACATTGGCACTCGTTTGCTTCCTGTGCTGTTAGAGGTCTGCCTGTTGGGATCCTTTGCCCATTGCTTTCCCCCAGTGAGTTTCCCAGGTTCCCTTTCACATTTGGAAGGTAATCATTTGTATATTCTGAACACGAATACTTGATGTTAATTATGGGCTAGCAGTCAGGAAGTTTTAACTTTAGGGCACTTTGGCTTTTAGAGTAAGGGCTGTCCATCCAGTTAAAGTCCATGAAAATATCCCCATATAAAAGCAAACCAACCTAAAACGTTTTAGATTAGCGGTAGTCAACTATGGTACAAATTGCTTATTTCTGTGTGTAGAGTAGGGATGAGGGTGTTCACAGGTGCGCCTTGAGGAACCTTGGGTCAGTCTCAGTTGTTATAAGGAGCAGTCCACCTTGGTCTTTGAGACAGCTCGCTGTCATGAAGCTCACAGAATAGACTAGGCTGGCCCCTGCCTGTCTCTCCCCAGGACTGGGATCTGACATACTCACTGCTCACTTGGGCTTATTTTTTTCTTTTTAAAATGTAGTTCTGGGGGTCAAAGTCAGGTCCTCACGCCGTGGTGCAGGCACGCCACCAGCTGAGTCACCTCCCCAGCCCCCAGGGATTACTTAGCTGTGTATTGAGACCTTTCATCCAGAGAGTAGTCAGTGTCAGCATCTATGGCCCCAAAGGAACTCCCAGGTCTAGTTACTGGGAAGGCATCTTCTTAAGCAGGGCCCTGCCTCAGCCCCTCCTCTCACACACTGTTGTTCTCCCAGAAGCTGCTGCCAGCCTGGTCTTCAAGACCAATTCCTTGTCCTTTCTGAGAAGCTCTGCCCCTTAAGGCAAACCTGGAGAGTGGCAGTTGTGAGGGTTTGGTCATTCGTGTAAAGTGCTTAGGGTACAGGCATACGCTCCCATTGCAAGCCTCGACCCCTTTCCAATCCTTAGACTTTGTATTTTCTGCCTCACTGTGCTGACTGAAACCTGAAATTGCCAGCGTGGATTAGCCAGAATCTGTGGCTTCTCCTTGTTAGAACAGGAAAGCAGTCAGTCATTAGTCATGGAAGCTTCCTAGTTTGCCAAGAGTTTGTTTTGTTTTTCAAGATAGTGTTTCTCTGTGTAGCCCTGGCTGTCCTGGAACTCACTCTGTAGACCAGGCTGGCCTCAAACTCAGAGATCCGCCTGCCTCCGTTTTCTGAGTGCTGGGATTAAAGGTGTGCGCCACCATGAGCCCCTAAGGACCCACACTTTTAAAGAACTGTCAATTTGCTCATCTGCTCACACATCTCATGGCTGTGCTATCAAACCTTTAGGTTAAATGGGGCGTGGTTTGCGTGTTTGGGGAGGCTGGTTACTCACAGGAGGTCTGCATTGCCTCAGCCTGAGGAGCTGTCCTCTGGCCACGCTCATGCCTCGATAGAACACCTTCAGAGCTCTGGCCAGCTCTGCGTTGGACCTGGCTTGCTGAGTGCACACTTGCTTAGTCTCTCTAGCAGCTGTCACTGTAGCTCCTTCTGGATTATCCGTCTTCTGGGCTGCGGTGAAGAAAAGGTTGTTTTCATCAATATCCACACATTTCTGTACTTATTTGTTTTTTCAAGACAGGGTTTCTCTGTGTAGCCATGACTGTCCTTAAACTCACTCTATAAACAAGACTGGTCTCGGACTTGGAGACTGACCTGCCTCTGCCTCCTAAGTATTGAGATTATAGGCGTGTGCCACCATGCCTGGCTTTGGTAACATTTTATATTTCCACTAATCAGTCTATTTCTTTGGACCTACTCAAAGATAGCTCAGGGCAAAAGAAAAAAGTTCTAGTTTGTTGTTGTTGTTCATGGTCTAATATATGAACTAACTCATTAAGATTTCCTGTTCCATGGCTGGAGAGACAGCTGAGCAGTTAGGAGCCTGGCTGTTATTCTAGAGACCCCAGGTTCAATTCTAAGCACCCACATGGCAGTTCACAACCGTGTGTAACTCCAGTTCCAGGGAAGGATCCACCTGATGCCTCTTCTGGCCTCTGTGAACACATATACACTCATACACTCAGGCATACTATATATATATATATATATATATATATATATATATATATATATATATATAAAATGTATGTATGTATGTATGTATATAGTGTGTGTGTGTATTTCTTCCTATTCTAGACAAATAGCGCATCCATCATAAACATGGGCGTTGGGAGTGAGGTGGAGCACTCCCGCGGTCTCGTCTCTCACCCTGTGGAACAGAACCAGCTTTTTCCAGTGATGCCTTGAGAAACACATTTTCTCCTCTGAGGGTCCTGTTAATGTCTCTCAGCAGCTCCATCTCCTCCTCTGACTTGAGCAGCTTCTGATAAAGTTCTGGCACCTGGTTTGGCGTGATCTACAGAGGATGAACCAGCTCAGCCTGTTGTGTAATTACCTGCAGAGCCTTCCAGATTAGTGGTTCATACTGTCTCGTGTGAACAAGGACGGAATGGGGAAGTGGGGAGAGGTTCAAATCCCTCAGGGCACACAGAAAGGCACACAGAACATTGAAGGAATGTTCTCTAAGGGGTGGTCACCAAGACTGTTCAGTCCCCTGTGAGCTGCCTTGTGGACATACCTGGCCCCCATCCTTCACACTGGAAAATGTCTTGGTGTCTACGATGATGTGACCTTCACCTGTGAGTAGGACGTCCAGCTGAGAGGCACCCAAGTGAGCACAGCCTTCTGCAGTGTGGAGAGACCAACATGGAAAGGCTTCTCCACGGGCCAGCTCCCGGTGAGCTGAGCTGAACCAGGTCAAAGCCAGAAGCCTGGCAGAAGATAGCTCTTACCCACTGCTCTACAGACCCGCCCGCCTCCCTCCTCTCCCTCTGCAGCATTAGATCTGGTTGAGCAGTACACAGTAGGACAGAATAAGTAATAAGTGGTACCTTGGAGGCCCCACAAGTCGACAATGAGGGCATTCGTCAGTAAGTAATTCAGAAACTCTCGAGACACACCCAAGGCTGCAAAGTGGACCATCTCTTCAATTCTGGGATTCACGCTTTTCCACACAGGTTTGGTATACAAAGTGTTTGGAAGATCATAAATCTTGTACCTAAGACAAGAATATAAAACAGAATTGAAAACTAGAAGGGACATATTTGTGGAGAAAATAATCAGACGAGCCCGGTGCAGCTAGCTAAGAAGTTGCCTACAGTTGACTCTTGTGATTTCTGACTCAGACACCTGTTATTCAGCATGACTGTCACTCCATAAAGCTAGTATAACAAGGAAGAAAGGTTTTCATAACTATGTTGACACTCTATTGGATGCTCTAAAATGCTGCTTCACCAAGTGGTGGCGACACATGTCTTTAAACCCAGCACTCAGGAGGCAGAGGCAGGTGGATCTCTTCTGAGTTTGAGGCTAACCTGGTCTACAGAGCAAGTTCCAGGACAGTCAGGGCAACACAAAGAAACCCTATTAACAAAAACAAAAATAATTAAAATGCCAAATTTCCTTGGGAGGCTTTGAGTAATTTCTTTTTTTTTATTTTTTAAAGATCCCTTTATCTTTCGATATTCTTTGAATCTAATGAACTTAGCCCTACCTAGTTTATCTGTACATTTACTTAAATAGTACACTTTTGATGGATTTTTTGTGACAATTAAAATGTCTAACACTGTAAGAGGCTCAGTAGCCATCCAAGTAACCTGGGGGGCCCTGTGGTTTCTCTACTTTCTTTTTCAAGTAGCCATTTTGTAGTTGAACAAACAGAAAAACTAAGAACTTTATGAAAAACTCACTTTTTAAAAAGAACCGAGGTCCCACCAGGAGCCCCACAGGTGGTGTGTGCAAGTTTACATGAGTGCAGATCTCATACCCCATCTGAATGCCCCGGGTTGCATCTTCCTTTAGCCACTTGACACCAAGGCACTGGACGATGTGAATCTGGAAGTCAGTCCTCCTGCCCAATAGCTCCAAGGGGTCGATAACCATATCTTCCTCACCATGTGCCCTTACAGACAAGAGCTGAATGTCAGTCTCCAGATTAGGCTAAGTCCAGGATAGTTAGCATTCAAATGTCACAGAAATGAAAGCATCCTAAGGAGATTGCCCTGAAGGAGATATTACCCCAGGCGGTAATATCCACTGTAGAATCCAGTAACTGAACAGCTGGTTCTGAATTGTGCTTCTGGGAAAGATATCATCTCCAAGAGCTCAGAGCCCAGAAAAGGGTACAAACATCTTCATGCAGCGAATGTATATGGTGAAGGCTGGGGTTGGTTCCCCTGGGGAGGAGGAAAAGCCAGATGCCTTCTCAGATTCTGCAGCCCAAGTTTCGATCTTCCTTGATGAGTTATTCATGGTCCAGAGTCAACATCAGCCCTGTAGCCTCAGAAACTGATTTGGACAGCTTTCTAACTGGAGACCTCTCTCCTGTCAGCCATGCCCATGAAGTCTGAAGCTTACAAGAATGGTGTTCATTTTCAGTGTGACTGTTGGGCAGCCTAGACAGCCAAGGTAGCCACGTGACCAGCCAGTGGCCTGAAGTCCCTATAGACACTGAGTTTGGTCAGCTTGGCCCTTTAGACCCAGGATGTGGAGGCTCTCCTCCGCTTTTCTCAAGAGGGTTTCTTCTTCATCAAGACAAGAAAGGATACATTGGATGTTCGTATTGGGACCTGCCAACCTCTGTGCTTAGGATTGCTAAAACATTTTCACTTATATATAAACACCCTATGGCCTAAAACAAGAATAAATAAAACTGGAGTTCAGAGACAGGGGTCTGGACACCTAACCTGAACCTGAAGCCAAAGAGCAAAGTTCAGGCCTCTGCCAAGAATGGAAGTGGGTGAGCAGAAACTGACTTTGTGCTTCTAGCTCTGATGCCTGCCTCTGGGTGCCAGGAGCAGGCAGTGGGTAAGCATGACCACAACGACATAGGCTTCTTTCCCAGCCGTCACTTCATGGTACCAACCCAGGGCTTCGGGTCCTCATGCGGAGTTCCTCAGCCCATCTGCAGCTCTGTGGAATGTCCTCATGCTTTGGTTCCACAGGGCAGTGCTGGGCTGCTCCAAACGTTGAGCATCTGACAAGTATCAGACTCAGCAAGACCAAATCATCAATGAGCTCTGTAGGGGTGGTTCTGATGCTAATGTCCTGTTCCCCAATTGGTTCTTGATCTATCAGTAAAGAAGCCATGCGCCAATTGCTGGGCAGAAGGAATAGGCAGGACTTCCGGGTCCTTGCAGGAAAAAACAGTCAAGGAGAAGGAGAGGGGGAGAGGGAGGGAGGGAAGGAGGGAAGGAGGGAAGGAGGGAAGGAGGGAGAGAGGAGATAGTTTGCCATGCTTTGGAGAGAGAAAACCTAAGTAGCCACGTAAGATCTCAGGCACAGGTGGGCGGTTGGGGGTGTTTAGCTGGGACTAGGTGTAATTGAACAACTAAAGTTGGGGCCAGGTGGAGAGTGCAGACCTAAGAGTATGCTAAGAGTAAGGGCGTGCTTCTCCAGGCAGGAGATAAGCAGCATCCGGCAACTGTGCTAAAAAGGCAAGTAGAAATTGAACAACATGTGTGTCTGTGTTTTTATTCGTGGATTCTAGGGAAGCTGGGTGGGGGCTGGCAGTGGGCCCATTGCCAGAGCTTCGGCAGAGCAGCAGAAGCTGCCCACACACGGCAGAGCTCGAGCTCTTGTCTCACCAGTAACCACTTCAGGGACCAAGCTGACCTCCCTCCCCTTCGTGAGAACTTTCTGGGAAATGGCGGTGACTCACCATCCTTCTGGGGAGCAGGGGGTGACTCGAATGTGCAGCACTGCCTCCTCTAGCCCGTCACAGTTCAGAAACTCTACCTGCTCCTCCAGCATCGTGCGGTGAGCCAGGGACTGCAGCCAGACATGTGCCGAGCCCAAGTGAACAGCCTCCACAGGGTCCCAGAAAGGGTCATCTTCCTGAGCCACGTGGCTGTCTTTGCTCTCTAGAAAACGCTCGTAAAGTTCCTCCATCAGGAATTTCCTATTGATAAACTTGGCCTTTGACCAAATCCATACCTGAAGATGCAGAAGGAGGTCACCCAGGGTCTAAGTTACTTTTTTTATTTCTGTGAAGAGACATCACAACCAAGGCAATTTATAAAAGAACATACTTCAGAAGGTTTCAGAAGGTTAGTCCATGGTTGTCATAAAGGGAGAACAGCAGCAGGCAGACAGGCATGGTCCTGGAGCAATGGCTGGGGGCTTTACATCCTGATCCATGAGGTGGTGGCAGGGAGAGGGAGGGAGGGAGGAAGGGAGAGAGAGGGAGGGAGGGAGGGAGGAAGGGAGAGAGAGGGAGGGAGGGAGGGAGGGAGAGGGGTAGAGAGAGGGAGGGAGGGAAGGAGGGAGAGAGAGAGGAGGGAGAGAGGAGAGGAGAGAGAGGGAAAGGGAGAGGGAGGGAGAGAGGGAGAGGGAGGGAGAGAGGGAGAGGGAGGGAGGGAGGGAGGGAGAGAGAGAGAGAGAGAGAGAGAGAGAGAGAGAGAGAGACAGACAGACAGACACTGGGAAGACCAGGTCTGGCATGAACTCTTAAAACCTCAAACCCCACTCCCAGTGACACACCTCCTCCAACAAGAACATACTAATCCTTCCCAAACAGTTCCACCAACTGGGATCTAAACACTCAAACATATGAGCCTATGGGGGCCACTATTCAAACTACCACACCTGTGTGTTGTTTCATTTGCTGCTTAAACAATCCATCTCTTGTTTTTACCAGTCTGGTTCTCCTAATGAGTGGGGTTTGGGGAAGACTGAGAGAAGGACACAAACTCTATTTTAGGACCAGGCCTAATGTCAAAAGGGAAGTCAGCCATTCCAGAAACTGACCATAAACCCTCCCTAAGTCATCAATCCCAGGAACTAGGCTGTAAATCACCAACTCCAGGAACAGACCATAAATTCCAGGAACAAGGCCACAAAATCCCCCATCCAAAGAACAGCCTGGAGATAACCACAAGGATGAAGAGGTATCTCAGAACGAGGCATAGGTGCTGGCAGCCTTATATAGTATGGGTATCTAATCCTGTGGTTAAACATTCATGTCACAGGAATGCAGTCCACTGACCACCTGGACACAAGCCGATCAGAAACCAACCCATACAATATCCCCAGCATCCACCAATAAAGTTTTAGATCACCTAACCCTAACTAAAATTCCCCTAGTTCCTTATAAAAAGGCTTGTGTGCCTTTGTCATTCGCTGCCATTTTTGTAAGTGGCCAATCCTTGCATGCAGGCTTCTTGATTCACGAAATAAAAAAATCCTTGCCAATTGCATATGTGACTGGTGGTCTCTGTGCTGCACTTTTGGACTTAAGAAGATCACATACTGGGCTGGAGAGATGGCTCAGGGGTTAAGAGCACTGACTGCCTTTCCAGAGGTCCTGAGTTCAATTCCCAGCAACCACATGGTGGCCCACAAGCATCTGTAATAGAATCTAATGCCCTCTTCTGGTGTATGTGAAGATAGCTGCATTATACAGTGTATTTAGTAAGTAATATTTTTAAAAAAAGATCACATACTATTCTCATCAGACTTAGCTTATTTTTTTTTAAAGATGTATTTATTTATTTTCTGTATGTGGGTACACAGTTGCTATCTTCACACACACCGGAAGAGGGCATCAGATCCCATTACAGATGGTTGTGAACCACCATGTGGTTGCTGGGAATTGAACTCAGACCTCTGGAAGAGCACTCAGTGCTCTTTTTTTTTTTTTGGTTTTTTGAGACAGGGTTTCTCTGTGTAGCCCTGGCTGTCCTGGAACTCACTCTGTAGACCAGGCTGGCCTCGAACTCAGAAAACCGCCTGCCTCTGCCTCCCAAGTGCTGGGATTAAAGGTGTGCGCCACCACCGCCCGGCACACTCAGTGCTCTTAACCACTGAGCCATCTCTCCAGCCCTCCAAACAGCTTTCTGAGGCCCTTCTAAAACACCAAATTTAGTGTGGGGAAGTAGAGCCAGAGAGACAGTGTGTCCGATTAAAGACAGAGAGGTGTGAGCCAAGGTGGGTTGGTGGGGGTTGGTGGGGTCTAGAAGCTGGAAAAAGCAGGGAAATAGATTTAAGCACAGGTTTTCCTTGGAATAAAGGGTTCAGCAAGACCTTTGTTGGGCTAACAGCCTACAGAGAGCTAAAGTCATAACCTAAAGTCACATAGTGAGCGACAGAGTTTGCTATAGACAAATAGACAATAAATACAGGACAGTTAATCTACAGACAGCAAGAAATGTCTCAACAGCAGGTGCACAGCCTTGTGATTAACCCTTGCCTTCCATCTTCCTTGCAGCTAAGCACAAGTACTTTCATCTGTTTTTCAGAAGCCCACAAAGGGTTCTGCTCTTGTTCAGGAGTTCACCCTTACCCAACCACCTCCCCAGTGAGCAACAAGTCTAAGGAATTGCTGCCTCTCACTGGGCAAAGGCAGGGCCTCTGGGAACACCAGCTCTGGATAGAACCATAAGCTGCAATAGAAATTTTCTTGACTGAAAATGCACCATCAGAAGTGGTATCAAGTAAACCCAACAACTCTTCCAGGCAACTAGAATAAAAGTAAAAGCAAATGGAGGAGGTATTCTCTCCATGAATGTTACCTTCAATGGGACAGTTGAGGGATAAACACAGATTTTTCTGTCTCTTTTGGCCTCCAGGCCTGTGAAAGAGCACCATATAGAGATGTGTTTTTTTGTCTCATGCACACACACATGGGCACATGGTCACCATTACTATCTGAGTAAATTTCCAGGCTTTTTTTTTTTTTGAGAAAGGTCTCTTTCTGTATTCCTGGCTATCCTGGACCTCACTATATAAACCAGGCTAGCCTCAAACTCAAGAGATCTGCCTGCTTCTACCTCTGCCTCTCTGCCTCTCTCTGCCTCTCTCTCTGCCTCTCTGCCTCTGCCTCCTGAGTGCTTTGACTGAAGGTGTGTGCCACCCCCACCTACCCTCCCTTTGTTTGATACTAAGGCTTGTGAGTCATGTTAAACGTGGACAGAGGGTCTTCAGTGGGCTCTGTGATAGTTAACATTGATTATCAACTGACAAGATCTAGAATCATCTAGCAGACAAGTCTCTGGCCATGCCTGTGATGAATTATCTAGGTTAGACTAAACTCTGGGGAGGCCTGAAGTGATTATCTAGGTTGATTGATAGGGGAGATACACCCTGAATAGCAGCAGCAGCAGCAGCACCATTCCATGGGCTGAGTCCCTGTACTGCGGGAGAGGGAAAGCTAGCAGAACAGAGAGTAGTCATCTGCTAATGTAGATGCTGTGTGACCAGCCGACTGTCACATGTGACACAAGCCCCTGTCACATGACTTCCTCCATGATAGACTCCACGCTCAAACTGTAAGCAAAACCAAACCTTTCCTCAAGTTCCCGTTGTGCTTTCAGAGCAGCATTCATAGCTAACTCAGCATGTGCTGGCTGGTTTAGTGTCCTCTTGACAGTTCTCAGAGAGGCGGGAACTTCGACTAAGAAAGGCCTCCAGAAGAGCAGGCTGGAGGCAAGTCTGAAGAGCCTTCTCTTAGTGTCGATGTGGGTGGACCGGGCCCGTGGTGAGTGGAACCACCATGGGCTGGTGGTCCTGGGTTCTATAAGAAAGCAGGCTGAGCAGGCCGTGAGGAGGAGCGAGCCAGTGAGCAGCACTCCTCTATGGCCTCCCTGTTCCTGCCCTGCTTGGGTTCCTGCCCCCACTGCTATCAACGGTGAACAGCTTGGAGGAATAGGAGTGAAACAAACCCTTTCCTTACAGTGTTGCCTTTGGCGATGAGATCTCATCAGAACATCTATAATGCCAACTAAGACACATTGTCACTAGATCCCAGGAACTGGCACCACTAAAGACAAGGAAACACAACAAAGGGTGCCCAGACTGGACTCTACTCAGAGAACATCTGGTTTCTCATCTAGGACTCCTGGATGCAACAAAAATCTCCTGTGTACTTTGGAAGCCTTCTGAGAAGGCTTGTATCTGTCCACTGATGGGGGCGGGGGTGTCTTACCTCATGAGTCCCTTGTTTGGTCACCTTCACCATGACCTCTTTCTGGAGGTCATAGCCCTTGGAATCTGACAATGCTAAATTCTTCACTTTCAATTCCATTTTAAGCCCCTGGTAAAGAAACATTTCACTAAACAACCCCTGCTCCAAATCCTTTGGCAGCTGCTTCTCCACTCTTCCTAGCCTCGGGCTTTGAGTAAAAGAACACAGCCCAGATCATCTTGTTCCTCAGAGTTCCTGCCAAGCTGGATGGCAGAGCACCAGAATTTCTTAATGCTATCCTGAAAATATTGTTTGTATTTCCTAAGTCAGCTAATTCCCTCTCAAGGCTCCTGCTGACTGGGATCCTGTGTCCTGGGAGCTAACCTGGTCCCCTCTGTGGCATGAGGTGCTGGAGAGGTGTTGGGCTCCATCAGAGGTAGCCAATTGTGGCTAGTAAGTGGCCATCAGATGCTAGTGGCTCTGATAAGTAGGGCAGGTGTTGAAGCTGGCTGGAGAGCCCTGAGAGTGTAGTTCTGTTACTAGCTCTTTGTGCAGTCGGAGAGAACGTCTCATCCTTCTCTAGACCTTGAGGGTCTTTCAGGACCTGTCTTTACGCCATCATTTGGGTGTCAAAGGTTACCTTCTTCAACTCTTCACTCATCTGATTTGCTTCCACAACCAGTGGCATGAGTTTGATGTAGTCCTGAAACACAGCTAAGATGCTGGGGTTGGTTTGGTCATCTCCAGGGCTCGAAGAATCTAGTGAGAGTAAGGGAGGAAGCGAGGCTGTCACTTGTTCTATACTTTTAAGCCACCCATAAACCCACACACTCAGCTGTTCATTCATTTTGGCATGATTTTTGTTGTTGCTGGGATTTTTAGTTTTTCAAGACAGGGCTATCCTGGAATTCACTGTGTAGGCCAAGCTGGCCATTAACTCACAGAGATCCTTCTGCCTCTGTGCCATCAATGCCCAGCTCCCACTGTTCATTTATACAGCTGCTTGTCATGGCCTTGAAATCTTGGCTATTCTTGTTCTTGATCTCAAGACGCTTAAGTGGGTGTAGTTCTGAACTGTCCAGGAAGGAGGGTTAGATGAAGTAGAAGCTGTGGGCCAGAGGAGGGGCTGGGGATCTGTGCTGAATCCTCCATGGTGCAGCAAGCACCCTGTTCTGACTTCCGTTGTGTCTGGGTGCCGTCGAGGAATGGTTATAGCAATGGTGAAAGGCCCTAATTCCAGATTTGGGTGAACACTGCCTCGTGTCAGGACCTGTCTGCTCTTTAGAGATCCATGTCTGTGGATCACATGCTACCAATGCCTCAGAACCTCCCAGCAGGCTGCCTCGAGAACCCACCATCATTGCTGGGACCTCAGTGCATCAGCCCAGGTGGATTATTTTGCTTATGATTGTGTGTGTGTATACAGGTGTGCATACAGAGACTAAACGAAGATATCAAGTGTTCTCCTCTACTGCTTTCTATCTCCTTCCCTTGAGGCAGCATCTCTCCATGATCTCAGACAAGCAGTCACTAAGCCCCAGCAACCTCCTTGTGTCTGTCCCATGGATGGACGATGGTATAAACCCACGTCCTCGTGGCTATGAAGCTAGCTTTCTTAAGCACAAAGCTGTCTCGCTAACCCTGGTCTTGGATTTATATCAAGAACTCCAGTGGAATGTGGACAAGGTGCCACACATCTGTAATCCCAATCCTGCATGCAGAGACAGGTTAACAAACTGATACCAGCTTGGGCTACATGGTGAGTTTTAGGCTAGCTTTGGCTACCCAGTAAGATCTGAAAATCCAAAACAGAACTATATATGGTGGCTCATACCTGTAATCCATCCCACTTTCCCTCATCTAAGGCTTTATTAAGGCAAACAGGGTGTAGATGCCTCCCTCTGAGAAGCCAGCATATCACAATGATCCCAGCAGGGGCCAGCCAATCCTTTACACGTGATCAGTGCTGAAGGGAGATGGGTGTGTAGGTGTTAGGAGCCTCAACCTTCAGAGTGAAGGTCGGTGAATGGGCAGAGGGTGGAGCCTAATACACTCATCTAGGAGGAATCCTAGATAGTACAGGGGTAGAGGGTGGGTTGAGGGCCAAGTGAGTATCTTCCACTCAGAAACCTAGAGCTGCAACTCCTTCCAGACCAAGGCCTGGACCTCGGCCACCATCATCTCTCCAGCCCAGAGCAGGCTCTCAGTGCATGCTGTCCCCTGTCGGCTGAAGGCTGTTATCTAACCTACTGATTTCACCCGAGCATTCTTGCCTCTACTCACTATGTGGAACAGCCCCCGTACTAAAGTTCACAACGTGGACCACGCTCGCCCTCATGCCTAAGGGCAGATTTAATGAGTCAAGCACACCACTGAGACGTATCCAGTTCCCTAGTTCTATGAAGGCCATATCTGGGGGCTGAGGATGTAGATCAGTAGTAGAGCACTTGTCTAGCACGCAAGAACACAAAGCCTTGAGTTTTATCCTGAGTATGCACAGAGAGAGAGAGACAGGGAGAGAGAGAGAGAGAGAACAAGCTCACACCTTAACTTTCTGCATACTGTCCTCTGACACCATGAAAACAGTTGCTTTTATATTTGCCCAGGATGATGCCAGAAGGCAGGTCGAGAAGCACTCACCAAGCATGTCCACACTCACGCCCTCAGCAGCTGCTCGCTCTAGCTGGAAAAAGTCATAGTCGAACCTGCTCAGGTCTTCAGCACCTCGCTCAGAGGGAAACCCGATGTAGAGGAAGGCACTGTTGGATCCCAAGATGATGCGGTCCTGGGGGGAAGAGGGTTGGGAGCAAAGGCCTGGCCTGCTCCGGGGCTGGGTTTCTCCTTAAGCCACAGAGGAGTGAAACCACCGTGGTCAGAACCTCAGAGGAAAACCACAGGGGTTCTGTGGAGTGCACTCTGGTCTCATTCAGATTAGGATCTCAGAAGTCCTCAGAGAGGGCAGAAGACTATGTGGGTACAGACGCTACGTGGGTTTTGTTGGTGGTGGTGGTGGCGGTGGTGGTGGTGAGGTAGACCACACTGCTGCTGGTCCACTAAAGGGAAGTCCTTGGGACGGGGCATGTGCTGGACAGTGAAGCCAGGGAGGGCACACCCCATGATTCTAAAAGGGGAGTGGCTGAGCCACCTGCCTGTCTTAGAGGCTTGTGGTTTCTGTGTGTAGTGATCGGTGAAGGGAGAGGGCTTCAGGGTAGCCACTGTGGTAGCAGAATGAATTGGGACAGAGGGGGACTGTTGTAAGTAGATGCTGTGTTACTCCCAAGGACAGGTTCTCTCAAGCCTCTGATGTCATAAAATGTGAGCACTGAGGAGGATCTTGGAGAGTGTCTACTTCCATCTTCCTTCAGTTATGGGTGATGTTCAGAGATCTGAAGTAATGCTCCCCAGACACAGTGGGTGGAGAACAGGTCTCTCACCCCGGACCTTGCAGTCTGGCAGAGGTGGGAAGCTCTGGGCCAGGGCCAGCCCCTCTCACTGTGACAGGAGCCATTTCACAAGAGAGCTATCCCCCCCCCTCCCTCCACCACCACCGCCGCCACCATCTTGAGGTATCACTGATGCACTGCTGTGGCTGGGCCAGGAACCTACCAGATGCTGCAGCTTTGTCCTGTTGGTGACAGGTACCCCATTAACAATGACTTTGCACTTGCTGTATGGAGCGACTGTCACTTTACCATCCAAATTCACGAAGGAAGCATGTTTATCTGAAATTCTAAGACAGAAATTTGATGCAGTCACCCAATAGATTATGGCTTGTGGGACCATAGAATCCTGGGTGTTCGGTCATGCCCCCAGAGCCCTGCCACGAGGTCTCCAGGTCACAAGTAGAGGACCGGGAAACAAATCTCTGCCTCAAGATTTCCCTGGCCCCGCCCTTGTCCCCTGCTTCCAATATATAAACAAACCGCTTCCGCCATGTTTCGGGAGAGCCTTTTTACCATCCAAACTCGCCGTCTGTTAATAAATCAACACATCTTAAATCTCCACATGTCTCGTGAAATCCTGGACTCATTGCGTAAGCCAAAACCCACGCCACGGGGCGGGAGTGGGAGAGAGCTAGCGAGCCCCGGACACTTTCTCCTGAGAGCCGAGGTTCCCAGAGCGCCTCCGCACGCTGCTGTGCTCTCGCTGGATGCTCTCTGGCCGCTTTTGTTCGAGCTCCCGCATCTTGTCTGGCGAGTCTCTGCTCTCGGGACTCTGCAGCCACTTGTAGCAGAGAGTGCCGCCGCCGGCCGAGGTTGCGGCTCCCGAGACCGCCCTGACATCTGCGCTCGGGACCGCCCCCGCGCGACCCGGGCGCGAGATCTGCCCGACTATGGCTGGTTGGGTTGCACCGTGAGATCCACAGCTGAGGTCAATGGGGAAGCTCCTGCTGCCCCCAACACCACACAGTGCTATTGGAGGCTGCAGGGCCCAGCCATAGAGGATGCAGGGAGTTGGAAGATAGTGAGGATGCTATTCTAGTCATGGAATGGACCCCAGCTGTGGCCTAGAGCTGCCAGGAACCTCCAGACATAAAGACCAAAAGACAAAGCTGTCGATGGAGAAATGAAAGCATGTTTCAACAGCCAAGATGTGGAATTAAAGCCCTGTGTCCATCACCAGGTAATAAATGTGGTATATGAACACCAGGGAAAACTGGCCAGAAAGATTCCTCTGAGGTCAGCAACGTGGGTGCAACTGGAGGCCATTATGAAATCAACCAGCTCCAGGACCAGAAAGACAAATACTCCGTTCTCACCCATTTGTGGAGGACAAGACTTATTTCAAAGAAGTAAAGAAGAGTTGTCACCACAGGCAGAGAGGATGTGAGGAGATAGTTAATGGCTGAAAGACAGAGAACTCCTGGTTCTGTAGGATTATGATGCTCAAGGTCATTAGCTGGACATTTCAAAACCCCTAGTACCTCTGATGGCTAACCACTGTATGCGCATTCTGAACCAATAAAGACTATAGCTCACACTGTAGATACAAATGTATATGGGGTCAATTAAAACACATATATGTAATTTTTAAATTAATTTTAAAGCTGCTTCAGTGAGGGCTTTAAACACAAAGACATGAGGATGCAGCCACCCAAAGGTGGGATTGTGAAGGACCCTCCATGTGTGCTTGGTCTTTCCTCTCCCCTTGTTTCTTGCTCAATTGCCTTGCCTGTGCTGTGGAGTTCTGCCTTACAGGCTCTAACCATTGGCGTTCCTTCTCTCCCAAAATGAGCATAAGGAAACAGGAAGTATGCACCACACTTCACTTCCAGGGGCACTCTCACGTGATCACTCTAGAGTGAACACTAGAGTGAGAAGATGCTGAGGGAGGCCTGGGAACTTTTAAATATTGCCCATCCAACTGGACTTACAATCTGCCTTACTCATGACTAAATTGGGACAAACCTGACAACCTAGCACTCAGGGGACAAGACAGGGGGATTTCATATTTGAGACAAACCTGAACTACATAGTGTGATCCTGTCTACAAAAAAGCCAAAACCAAACAAGACAGATGTCCGGGCTGAGAGGTCCTGGTCCTCTAGTTCGGGACTCAGGTGTCCTTACCCAAGGCCTTGAAGGCAGATGGCATTTGAAGTAGCCCGACCAACATCACAGGAGCCTGGAAAGAGTCAGGACAGTTTATCGTCAAAAATTGTCTTCCTTTGGCCTTGATAAGGTAATATCTCTGATAGTTTGAAAGTGGCATTTCTTTCCTCAGAAGAGTATTCGAAGAATTTGTTTTCCCACTGGAGCTGTCAATCATAACAGCACCCAGATGTGACCCTGCTTTACGTATAATTGTTTTACTTTCTGCTTTTTTTTTTCTTCTTGGGATTACCAGCTTGGTGACAGTGCCACTTTCTTCATGGGCCTTAGTCCTCAGTAACCCACTGAGGCTGGTCCACGCTTCTTAGAAGCTCTATTTCTGTGGTAGCTGACCCCTTGAGGTATACAGTGTCCCCCACAGCTCCTGAGTGGGTGTCCTCCTGACACCTATCTTAGACATTCATAGTGTCCCGAAAGGGGAGTACAGGTGTCAGCTCAACTCTGCGCTCTGAATTCCAGCCCATTCAGTATCATATTACTGGAAGCATTCAGAGCCATTCCAAAGGCTGCCACCCCCTCGGAAACCACTAGACAAAAGTTCGATGTGATCAAGTGTGGGGGATGGACCAATAACATGCACTAAGGAAAGAAATTCCAAATTATGGTAACCTTGAGTGAGCTTAGTTACACTCTGAGGACTGAGAGAAACACAACCAAGAACTGTGGGGTGACCTCACTGCTGTGAGGCACCTGGGAAATCCAGATGCAGAAGGAAGAGTGGTGGTCACCCAGGGCTTAGGGAGGAGAGACAGGAGGTGGTTTTTAATGGGTACAGGGTTTTGGTTTGAGGCAATGATGGAAAGTTCTGGAATAGATATGGTGATGCACTGCACTCTCAAGAGTGGTTAAAGAGGTGAGCTTTATGTTATATCCTTTGTAGTGCAAATTTAAAAAAAATAAAAAGGGGGGAAGGAAAGGAGGAAGAGATAGAGGAAGAGAAGGAAGGAAAGGAAGAGGAGGAAGAGGGAGAGGAAGGAAAGGGAATCGGAGCTGGCCTGGGCAGGGCTGGGGAGTAGGGGAGCTGCGGAAGCAAGTACCGTTGTGAATGAAGAACTTGAGGACCCCCGTGAGCTGTGGGTCCTCGTTGACATTGAGGATGTGCGGGAGAATCTTTACCATCTGCTGCTCCTAAGAAGGCAGAGAGACGTCTGTCCCGGGGCCTCCGGAGGAAGGAGAGCTGTCTGGGCAGCTGTCCCAGGGACCTCACTTCCTTTAGTCCCCCACCAGCCATCTTCTACCGTCCCTCCCTCCTTTACCTCCGCCCCGCCTATTTTCCTCAGGCCCCTGGCATCCTCCTCGGGCTCCCTGCTTGCTGCCGGAGCCCCCACCGCAGCACAGGCTGCCGGCTGAGTGTGAGTCTCACCTGTGTGAGTGCCTCGTACTGTTGCTCCCACTCCCTCCGTGCCTTCTCCAGCAGCTGGGCCCAGGTCCCCCGGGTCCCCAGCTGCTGTTCTGCCCAGAAATAGGCTGAGTGCTCTAGAGAGAGGGAGGGACTTTAAGCAACAGACAACATCAAAGGCGAGATGCAGAGCAGGCAGAGAGAGAAAACAGCTGCTTCTGTGTGATTCTACGGGAAGACTCTTCTGCTCAGTCCTGGAGTAACTCAGACAGGATGAGAACTCGGAAGATGGTTCATGGGGAGCACGGAGCTCGGAGGTCCCTCTTTCTCTTTTTCACGCGTGCAGGCATGTGACCATCTGCTCACGGACTGGTCTTGCCATCCAACCAGAGGTTCAGAAAGAATGACAGATTTGCCTTACACGATTTTTCGTGTTTCACGTCAGGGTTTGTAAATTGTGGGAATTCGATCACACACAAACACACACACACCCACACACACACACACACAGCCTTGTGACGAGCAGAACCAGGCGTGGGCCACTGTATGTATCTGCTCTAACTCAGGCAGGCGCTTGGTGGCAGTGGGTACCTGAGGTCAGCCAGTTGGCATTGGAAGCCTAGAAGTGTGTCCCTCATGGGTGCACCTAGCCCAAGGGAAAGCCTAAGGCCTTTGTTTCTTGTGACAAAGGAGAGTACAGTGATCTCAAAGCTGGAATTTCTCAAGGTTAAATCACTTAGTTAAGATCCTTAACAAAACTTAGGCCTTCCCTCCCACCCCATGTGCCTGGCCAGTCCTCCCTCCCCAGACGTGTAAGCCACCCCTCGGTCCTAGCCCCTGGGTGTCATCCAGCTCCAGGTGTGGCTGAGCATAGCCTCCTGACTTGATTTACCTGCTGCACCAGCACCCACGAATCCAAGCAGCAGAGCGTTCTCAGCCTTGGACGTTCTCACCAGTGGACAGGTGTTGATCACAGCTCTGTTTCGAACCTTCTTAGCCCTGTCATATGCAATGGCAGACACTCTCAGACCCTTTTGTAGTTAAAACTCTAGCACCAGCCCTAGGGTAACAGCAGGCAAACTCAGATCCCAGGTGAAACCATGTCAGCTTTCACTAACCTGGTGTGTCTAGCCTTTTGACATTGTGATACTACATTGTCATCTACAAATTTCTTGGGCCACATTCATAGCTAGCCTGGGGTGGGCCTGTGGGTCACAGGCTAGACATATCTGCAATCATGAAGACCAAAACTGATCTCAGTAATATACATGGCTCACACAAACTCGCCCAGATCAGTCCAGTCCCCATGCTGGGCCACTGAACATCCTGGGTCCTGAACACACTTAGCTAATTCAAGAATGTGCTTTGTCAACAGTTAGAACTCTGGAAGTCATACTTAAACTGCTCCACTATGTGCCACAGGCTTCAGTCAACTCACAGGGTTTCTGTTGCTGTCCCCACCTCTTGTGTCACTACAGAAACTCGGGCATACCTAACCTGACTTATTCTTTGTCTGAAATTCGAATTTAACTGGATATCTTATGCTATTTTTATCTAGATGTTGGGGATTAAACCTACTTTACCTCAGGACTTCACCCCCGTAGCTGTCTTATGCTTTTACCATTTTATTTCACAAAAGAAATTTTAAACAGATATCAATGAGTCTTGTGCCAAGCCCAAAGTCCAGGACAGAGTGCTTCTCTGTGCACAATCCCTCCCAGAGATCTACTAGCCCGACTGTTAGCTAGGAACAGCTTGCCTCCTGCCAGGTGCAAGCCAACCCTCCTGTATAAGAACTACTCCAGCTTTCTCTCTCCCTCTCCCTCTCCTCTCTACTCTCTTCCCCTCCCTCTCTCTCCCTCCATCTCTGTCCATCTCCTATCCTCTCTCTGTCCCCCTCCTTCATTGCCTCTACTCCTTTCCCAGGTCCCCTTCCCTTCCCCCAATAAACTTCCTGTCACGTGCACTAGGCATGTCCCCTCACGGGGCCACTGAGATTCCCTCCCCCCACCCCCCTGCACATTATACCACCTTTTATAAAACACAGCAAAGATGGCAGCAATAGACAGGAAAAACGGAACATTCTAGACGTTGCTAAAGCTGAGGTTCCACAGACAGATCTGAACTTGCATTGCAGATGCTGGGAGAAAATGTGGTTTCCACATACAGGAAAGGGACCCCGACTGAGAAGTGTCTGATGGTCGGATTAGGAGAAGCATAATCTGCACTGTAGGGTTTTGTTATTTTGGGTGTTTTGAGACAGGATCTCACCTTGCTGGCTGGAGCTCAGACTCCCAGGTGCTGGGATTAAAGGCCACACACCACCACATTTAGGGACCAAGGTGTAATTTGTGAATGTCCCCGTGAGAGCAGCAGGCACAGCTGCTGAGCTAACCCCGGCATTCTTATTGCCAAACCCATCCTCCTCCTCCTCCCTCGCTGGCCTCGCTGGCCTCCTCCTCCTCCCTCGCTGGCCTTACTGTCCTCCTCCTCCCTCGCTGGCCTCGCTGTCCTCCTCCTCCCTCGCTGGCCTCGTTGTCCTCCTCCTCCCTCGCTGGCCTCGTTGTCCTCCTCCTCCTCCCTCGCTGGCCTCGATGTCCTCCTCCTCCCTCACTGGCCTCGTTGTCCTCCTCCTCCCTCGCTGGCCTCGTTGTCCTCCTCCTGGACTCCCACCCCAACACTAAGCCATCAAGTAGCTGAGAGCTGAAAGGAGTTGTGACTTAGGACACAGAACTCAATGACTAGAAACTGCCCACAAACTACTTACCTCTCGGCATATCTCAGCGTCGACAAGGTCTCCTCATAGCAGATGTCAGCCGGACTCAGGGCTGCAAGCTGGAAAGGCCCCGTGCAGACGTTCGTCATCAGGAGTTTATTACCACTGATGCTATCACAATAGCTAACAGCACTAGAGTACCTGCTTTGCAAGCGTGAGGTGCTGAGTTTGATACCAGAACCCACATGAATACGCTACGTGTGCTGGCACATACTTGTGAAGCAGATGCAGGAGGATCCATGGAGCTCACTGGAGACCCAGGCCTACGAGAAGCCCAGCCTCAAAGGAAGTAGATGGCATTCCTGAGGATGACCCTCTTGAGGTTGTCAATTCATACACACACACACACAGACACACACGCACACACACAGGCACCTCATGCACACACATGCTGATAAAAAATGCACACACATGCTGATAAAAAAAATAACTAATATTCACAAAACCGTTTACATTATGTAATTTTCAGCACTGTTTGAAATTTTACTCACTTTTAAAGAATTATTTATTTTATGTTGTATGAATGCTTTGCCTGCATGTAAGTGTGTGTACCATGTGTATGTCTGGCCCCCATGGAGGTCTAAAAAAGGCATCAAATACCTTGGGATTGGAGTTACAGATGGTTGTGAGCCATCATGTGGGTGCTGAGATTCAAAACTTGGTCCTCTGCAACAGCAAGTGCTCTTAACCACTGAACCATCTTGTCACACTCTGAACTTTAAATTATTAAAAAATAAACTTATTTTTACATTTATTTATTTGTGTGTGCGTGTGCATGTTCGTGCCACTGTGTCAGTCAGAGGACAACTTGGGAGAGTTGGTTCTCTTTCTCCACTCCATGGATTCCAGGAAGAGAACTCAGGCCGTCAGGTTTGGCCACAATCACATTTTCCTGCTGAGCCAGCTCACTGCCCTGTTTGAACTTTACAACCCAGAAAACTCTGCTCAGAGAAAACTACAACAGCTAAAGTCAGCCATATGATAACTGGCCAGAAGTGGAATTTGCTCCTGTGTGATCTTCTGGTCAGGGAGCTAAGCCCCTGGGAAGAAATCTACTGCCAAGAAGGGTTTCTCTTGACTCAGACCGCTAGAGGATTCAGCTCCTACAGGCGGGTCCTTAGGGAAGAACACCACGGCACACAAGGTGAATTTGGGATTGTTACTGCCTACATACACGGCAGGTCTTTCTTCTTTGCCAAATCCTCTTTGGAAACACTCTCACAGACCAGGACAGAGGTAGGGTATGCTTCAAGGTGAGGCAACACAATACTGTGGAAAGATCTCTTAGATTCCAGAGACTGGAACTTCTGCTCAACCTCACAGCCAAAGTTAATAATACACCGTGAGGTCACTCAAGACGTCAGGCTGCTGTGTGTTCAGCCGGCTTGTTCCGCCAGGCTTTAAAAGAACTATGTAACAACCAGTGGATCGCGTTGTCCACTGGCACAGCGATCTGATCCGGGCATCTGGAGCTCGGCCCCGCCTGCCTGTGCTCCCTTCCGGTGTCGCCGAGGCAGCTGGTGCCTAGAATTGGTACACAGGCTGCCGGTTGCAGTTTGGGCCCAAGCCCGGAGACAGCTACACCGAGGGATCGGAGCTGAACTCACGCCATTTTTCCAATATAGAAAAGGTTATAACAGGCCACGCATAGGAGACAAAGGACAACATCCGCTCGAGAGCACAAAAGCTATGTTTTTTTTCTCCAATTAGTCCCTCCCAACAAATAAAAGAATCAGAAACTGCTGCAGTGTCCTGAGTCGAACACCAGAGGGAGACAAAAGCTCAGAAAACTCCAGATTAGGGACTAAGGTTGGAAGTTGATATTTTGGAAAGAGATAGACACATAAAGATGATAAACATAATAAAGACCTTTTGGATTTTATATAATGCTATTTTATATAATGCTATTTTATATAATGCTATTTTGAACAGTTTAAAAGGGATGGATCTAGAGGAAATGGACACCTTGCCAGTTACAATTAGTGTATCTTTAAGCTTCACTCTTAGCCTAATAAGCATTTTAGGTTGCTATGCCTTTTTAATAAACAGGGCCTTAAAAAATCTTCACAAGCCTTTATAAAAAATTAAATTTTTTTTATAAAACAGAATGAAAACAATGTCAAAGCATTAGAGTGGAGAGAACTGAAAGTTATATATCAGAAAATGGAGGAAAATGGAGACTTCAGATGCCTGAGAAGCAGAAAAAGAAAAAGGATAAAAAAATTTAGAGACATTTATGAACAAAATTGAGGAGGATACTAAAATAATAAAGATAGAAAAATAAACATGAAAATTTATAGAAATTTGTAAGCAAAATTGAAGGGAGAAATTAAGATAATAAAGATACAAGAAAAGGAAACCAATAAAAATTGGAGAAGTCTTAGAAGAAAATTTACAACAAATTATTAGAAAAATTGAAGTACATACTAAGCTAGGGACAGAGGAAGGAAGGCTAGAACATAATAGCATCACCTTGTAACAAGACTACAAAAGGGCAGTTTATTTCTGTTAAAAAACAAACAAACAAACAAACATCACCCTAACATGATTCCTCCAGCCTTGATAAGAGAATTGGAAGGAGGTGAAGAAAATCCACAGGGTTATAGAGAATTCAAATGGCAACTACAGAGGCACAGGATTTAAAAAGGCTCAAAGAGCTATCTATGGCTTACATTCACCATTTGTCAAACAGATATTTAATAACTGGGCCATGGAATTGTATAATTCCAAAAGACTGGAGAGATATGATGACAGCCATCCTAGAGCCTGGCCCTCAGTTACAGTGGCTGACATTGTGGAAAGATAAGGCTTTGATTACTGTCCTAGAACAATGTCGCACAATAGCTTTAAATATTTGGGACAAGGTTGAACAACAGGGGAGAGTTGAATCATTTACAGAGATAACCCAGGGTTCAAATGAACCTTTCACAGACTTTTTACAAAGACTAGCCACAGCTCTAACTAGAGCAATATCAGATCCAAATGCTAGAGGAAATCTTAATTGAATCTTCAGCTTTTGAAAATGCTAATGATAAGTGCAAAAAGGCTATTAGACCATTAAGAGTAAGATCTGCACCTCTTTATGTCTGGATTGAAACTACTCTGGGCAAAGAAGCAAATGCTCACAATCCAGCTGTGGTTGGACAAGCACAGGAGATAAAGAAAAACATGATGCCCATCACTGTGGCTGTTAAAGATCAAGTCATTCCCTAAGTAACAGGCAACCAACCGATTTCTAAGGAAAAAATTTTCTAATAATGTCTTAGGGTTTCACTGCTGTGAACAGACACCATGACCAAGGCAACTCTTATAAGGACAACATTTAATTGGGGCTGGCTTATACGTTCGGTCCAAAATTATCAAGGTGGGAGAGTGCAGTGCCCAGGCAGGGATAGTGCAGGAGGAGCTGAGAGTTCTACATCTTCATCTGAAGGCTGCTAAGACTGGCTTCCAGGCAGCTAGGACGAGGGTCTTAAAACCTATACCCACGGTGACACATTTCCTCCAAGAAGGTCACACATTCAAATAGTGCCACTCCCTGGGCCATACATATTCAAACTGCCACAAATGGTAATCATTCTGGGAGACAATTTCCTTTGAATTGTAGAGGATTTGGCAGGAGTGGGCATATGGCTTTTAAATGTAGGCCATCCAAGGATATAGGAGGCAATTTCTTAATTTCAGAAAACTAACTGAGGGGCTTCACCCAAGGCCAGACAAAAACAATATGAGCCACTTGTTTCCTGTAGCTAAGAGAAGATGTTTCTGAAATACAATTTAAATATTCAAAGTCTGATAGAACAAACAGAGCTGCTCGAAACTCAATTAAGCCACTTAATGAAAATCAAGCATCTCCTAAAGATAAAACAAGAGATTCTAAGGATACTGAAAAAGCTATTTTGGCAGACTACTATAAATGATAAAAAAACAAGGTTAAAACTACAGTTTAGCTGAAATTGAGATTAAAGGATTAGTGGATACTAGGGCAGATGTAACCTTAACATCACAAGATTCCTGGAATCCAGCTTGGCTGCTTCAAAGTATCTACACACAGCTCCGAGGTATTTGACATTGTCTCAGGTACAACAAAGTCTTAAATGGATTGAATGTATAGGACTAGAAGGTAAAAGAGAAACATTAAAGCAGATGTGGCAGATGTAGCCAGGAATCTATAGGGAAGAGATCTATTGCAACAATAGGAAACTGACATGAGAGACAGACCATAAAGGAGGTGTTTCTGTTAAGAGAGAGCGAGACAAAGAGATGTTATCAGGGACAGTTGTAAACTGTCCAGGATATCCATAGACAGGATACAACAGAGACAAACTCTTTAACCTTGGTTGAGGGAGACACTGCTGATAAAACACCAAGAACCTTACTACCAAGGTGGTTGATGGACCAACCTGTTTGTACTGAGCAATGGCCAATGTCAAAGGAAAAATTACAGGCTCTAGAACAGCTACTCCAAGAGCAGCTGGAGACTCAACTCACCAGCCCTTGGAACGCTCCTGTATTTGTCATTAAAAAGAATCAGGCAAATGGAGGATGCTGATAGATCTGAGAGCGATCAATAAAATCAGTCAGCCAATGGGCTTTTTATAGCCTGGAATCCCATTGCCTTCCTTGTTGCCTAAGGAATGGCCTATCACAGTGATTGATCTAAAGGATTGCTTTCTCACAATCTCTTTACAAAAACAAGATAGAGATTTGCTTCATGGTGCTCACATTTAACCACTCAGTGCCAATTCCAGTTCCGTTGGAAAGTCCTACCACAAGGAATGTTGAATAGCCCTATCTTATGCCAAAAGTTTATGTAATAGTTGTTGGGAATAATTCATAAACAATTTCCTCAATACAAAATTTACCATTATATGGATGATTCAAATAGAGTTATCCTACAAGAAATGCTTAATGAAGCAAAAATAATTTTTTCTTATTGGGGATTATAAATTGCTCCTGAAAAAATATGAAGAGGAGATTCTGTTAATTATCTAGGATGTAAGATTAATCTGCAGGGAATTTGACCACAAAAGGTAAAAATTGAGAGAGACCAGCTAAA